TGGCATTAATGTAGACGTCTGTCTGATGATGTATTGTCAGTCTGTGTAGAATGAAGTGCTATTAATAATCAGCTTGTGTCGATCTCATGCGTCTGACCAGGATCCAAATGTCAAGCCGATGTAAGAATTTCCATTCAGACTTGATGAAAATAAAATGTCTGAACATAATTAGGCTCTCTAGCCAAACTTGTTGTTGTCGTTTCATGATCATTGCCTCATTAGTGCTTTGTGCTGCTCGCGGTGCTTTAATTGCATTCAGGGCTGTAAACGACACTGACGTTAGAGCGTTAATACCATAGGTTAATACAGTTTGAGAAACTTCTGCTTCAGATCAGATTCAGCTGATGAAGATAATGATGTCTTACGACCCTCAGAACTTTACATTTATATTTATGCATTGGGCAGATGCTTTCATCCAAAGCAACTTGCATCACATTCAATTTGTCCAGCTCTTTTTTTATTATAAGTACAAAAGAGCGTGTTATGCTTTCTGTAGCTCAAACTGAAGATGTGGTGTTAGCAACCCCAAGGTCATGGGTTCCAATCCCAAGGAAAAAAGCCATAACTGAACAAATGTTTTTGGATAAAAGCATATGACAAATGTAAATGCTGCATTATTGCAAAATGGTATTTCTTATCTTGTTAATATATCGTATTGTCATAATTATAAACACTAGTACAGAGTTTGCAGCACTTTATTTATACACTTTACCTACTAACCCAACCCTTCTGTTTCAAAATAAGGTGCACTCAAAGATTTATGTATTTGAAGTGCATATTTGAATTCCACGGTTTTAATATAAACAGACTAATAAATGCATTATTTATCAGTCAATCAAGATTTCTGTTGTAGTACTAATAAACAAATAAATAATGAGTAATGAATGTGTTTTAAATAATCAATAACCAGGTTATATATTCATATATTTATCATCAATAAAACCACTTTCTTTCCATCTCATGCATTTTAACAGATTAAATATTGCTTGTTCCAAAGCTAGTCATATTTTAACCGTGTTCATGCTTTAACTAAAATAAATTAATGCTGATTATGCACTGAAAATATGATGATTTAAGTGAAATCAGACACACCGTGTTTTTGTTACGTGAATTAAACTGAAATAAAATAAGTATGTTTTTATGTTATTTCAGCTAGTTGCCAAGGCAACATTTCATAGTTTAACAGTAGCTCAGTGATCCTGAAATAACACTGAAGATCTGACCTGTCTCATTTCTGGATGACTGACAAATATGGATCACATTATTAGTTCATGGTAAAACTGCATGTTCCATATGCATGAAAATGTTATATGCAATTCAAATAAAGCTTTTACTTAGGCCTAAATATTATTCTGAGTGTGTACACATTTCTGTCTCCGTTCGTGCGTGCTGTGGGATTCGAACCCATGACCGTGTCGTTGTTTGAGCAGCAGGAACGCTTTCTCTCCAGCACGATCGCTGCTTTCCTCTGCGGCTGCTTGAGGCTCGGTTGGCTTGGCTCTCCGTGCGATCGGTGCCGTGGGAGAGCGTTCCCTTAACAGATGAGGCTGTGAAGCTCCTGTTGCCATGGCGACGCTCAGCACATCCTCTCTCTCTTCCAGACGACGGACAGATTTTCACACACACGTCTGTGGAGGATGCAGGCCTTGTTATTTTGAATTCCCTTTTCGAGGGCCAAACCTTGCCCAAAATCAAACGTGTGGAAAACACAAAGTCGAGGCGGCGGCGACTTCAGCTTTTGCTCCAGTGTGAAAGCTTCCCTCCCTCCTCTCGCCAGCAAGCCTGAGACGTTACAATAACTTTAGAGCAGAGAGAAACATATTTGCAAACCCATTTTTCACGAAGTTTCTGCTCTACTTTCCTGAAGCTGTACGCTCGCGGTCATTAATCAGGCCTGAGAGATCTCCAGACGCACGCGTTACTACAGACCAGACGCGAGTCCGTGTCCGAGATCGTTCTTTTCTGTCTAAGCTGAATAAACTCTGACGTCTTGTTAACTCGCCTGATTTGATGTTCCTGTTCAAAAATGTCCAGCCTTTTAAATATTGCTTGTGAATCTGTTATAAACAAATATTGGAGTCAATCCGTTTCAGTTAGCACAGGTTTTGTGTTTCTTCTTGAAACGGATTGATCTGAGTTTATGCATCTCCAGCATTTTAGCGGCTAATTTGGACAATATTCACTCAAAAACCGAGATAGCATGTCTTCAAGAGGTCTGTTAAAGATCACTTCATCTGGAAAGCATCTGCTGTGTTCAAACATCTGATAGACGTCTTTAAGACATCAGTTTTACATGCATTCTAAATCATAAACATCTGGTGAAAAAGGTCTATTTCACATCTGATAGGAAGCGTCCTATAGACGTATCGCAGATGAGCAAACACTCTAAAAAATACGCCTTGCAGACGTCAGATAGACGTCATACGTGTGCTGAAACTCAGAAGAGGCCTACAATCAATCAGCTACAAAAAGAAACAAAACCTGTGCTAACTCACAAGTG